TGCTGTCCTTTTGTTCTTCAGTCTAGTTGTGGAAGACGTTGCTTCACTGGCCCAAGTTGGCACCATCATTGCGCTCTTCCCGGGGGAGGCAGATCAGTCGCCGGCTTCTGGACGGCCGCTCACACTGGCTGCTGGCTACACACAGTAGCCCATGGCAACCCACCTGCCAATGCCGGCGACTCACGGCAGCCCAGCTCCAGGTTGAGCTGTTGTTCAGCATCTTAGCTGTAGAGGGCAGTGTCACTGGCCCTCATATGTGGGATCCGAACCAGGGCCCTCTGGCGTCCCAAGCCAGCTCTTAACCTATGCGTCACTCAGCCGGCCCATTAAGGCTTTAAATACCATCTCTACAATGATGACTCCCACATTATGTCTTGAGCACAGACCTTTCCTTGAGCTCCAGGTCCATACTCAACTCAACGCTTCCATTTGGTGTCTAGCCACATCTCAAGCTTAACATATCCCAACCTGAGATCCCAGTATCTCCCCAATCCAAGGCAGTCCTTCCTACAGCCTTCCACTGCTCTGTTCTTCCCAGTTGCTCAGACCTAAAGCCTTGGTATCATCCTTGACGCCTCTCTTTCCCTCACCAAATCCATCAGCATTACCTGTCGTGTCTCTAAAATAGATCCAGAGTTTGACTACTTCTCCCTGCCCCCAGTGCCACCACCCTGGCCCAAGTCATCACAATGACCCAATGACCAGCCAGGGTTTTTGCAGTGGCCTCTTTTCTGGCTTCTGCATTTCTGCCCTCACTTCCCCTACAGCCTTTTCTCAACCCATCAGCCAGTGTTTGTGTCACATAAAGCAAATCTTGTCAATCTTCTGCTAAGAACTCTCCAATTGCAAAAGCACAAACCATTAAGCAGGACCTAGAAAGCCCCGTGGGATCTGGCCCCTGCCACCTCTCTTACCTCACATCCTACGACTGTCCCCCATGCTGGCTTCCTTGCTCTTCTTCAAATGTGCCAACCACATTCCTGTCTCAGGGTCTTTGCACCTACTGTTCCCTGTGCCTCTGTCCTTCCCTCCAGGTGTCCACATGGCTCACACCCTCACTTCCTTAGGTCTCCACTTTCTCAGTGAGGCCTGTTATGTGTCCAAGTGTCTAGTTCCCGAGCTATAGAATAGTAATTATTGCAGTTAGCTAGTTATTTTAGCACCTGGAATCTCCCAATTATACTGTATGTTAAATGGTATGTTGTGTATTTTCACTTTGTAATGATAGAACCCTTTCTCACCTCCTGTCCCATCACCTGATAAAATATTAGAGACTGTGATAATTACAATACTCAAATTAAAAATTCTCTAAAATAACTACAGGTGACAGCATTTGCAGATGGTTTGGTGAGGGTCCATTTGTTACTCATTGAATTAAATACCTAGGACAGCTGCAACAACTTACCACAAACTGAGTGCTTAAAACAACAGAAATTTATTTTCTCACAGTTCTAGAGTCAGAAATCCCAAATCAAGGTGTCAGCTGGGCCATTCTCCCCCTGACCGTTCTAGGGGAGAATCTTTGCTTGCCTCTTCCAGCTTCTGGTGACCCCAGGCATTTCTTGACTGGTGACAGCATAACTCCAATCTCTGCCACCATCTTCACGTGGCTGTCTTCCCTCTGTGTCTCTGTGTTCACCTGGCTTTCTCCACTGTGTATGTCCATATCCATTTCTTCTTATAAGGACACTGGTCATATTGGATATGGTTCAACCCTAAAGACCTTGTCATACCTTGTTTGCATCTATTTTCAAATAAATGAAACCCTATTTTCAAATAAGGTTGCATTCACAGGTGCAAGGGGTCAGGACTTCAACATGTCATTTTGGGGCACACATTTCAACCTATAACACCCATTATAAGCCTTTCAGGACTACTTGGTGTTTTTACCATCAATACATATTATTTTAATTAAAAGAGGAAAAAATGGTGGCCCCAAATGGGCCTTGACTTCTTGAAGAAATGGTGGCATACCCAAACATCCTAGCTGCCCTCTGATGAGCACCACGGGAAAGGTGAGATTTGCTTAGATGTCTCCTGCATCCTTGAAAGGTCAGCCATGCCTGCACATTCGCCTGCCCTGAAGTGTTTGCAAGCTAAATTGAAAGGATGTGCCAGAGTGCAGGACAAGGAAGTGGGCCAGGAGCAAGCTGTGTGAACTATCTCCAAGCTTGGGCACCATGCAGTGCTGTGCTCCATCTGCCAGCAGCTTCTCCTCAGAAGCAGTGCCTGCTCTGTGTGTGTGTGTGTGTGTGTGTGTGTGTGTGTGTGTGTGTGTGTGTGTGTGTGTGTGTGTGTGT